ACAAATTAAAGAGGGAGTTCACCACTGTCTGCAATCACTACGGTACTCTTGGGTGTGCCACTCTGCTTTCCTTCAGCTTCAATCTTGTACACCACATCCATTCCAGACAGCACCTTTCCAAATACAACATGTCTGCCATCCAACCTGTAAAAAGTTTCATCTCCCATTAGCTTCAGAACTAAAAGCCAGTTATTTCATTTTACTGTTTTTCTGGTTAGAAATTTAACTACCAGCTAGTTGTGACGGTAGTAATAAAGAATTGTGAACCATTGGTGTCTGGACCTGCATTTGCCATCGACAAAAGCCCTGTAACAGAAACAGAGATTTTTACATCACTAACATTCTGAGGCCAGCTTGCAGAAAGTATCTGATTTCACTAAAGAATGAACACTATTCTTGCCTGGTCCAGTATGCTTCAGCTTGAAATTCTCGTCAGCAAACTTCTCCCCATATATAGATTCACCACCTCTTCCATCACCAAGGGTAAAATCACCTCCTTGGATCATGAAGTTGGGAATAATCCTGTGGAACGCACTGCCCTTGAAATGAAGAGTCTTCCCACTCTTTCCAACACCTTTCTCCCCTGAAATGGCAAACTCAACCTTAAGAAATATTACATAATGCAAATAGTAAATGAGACATCTCATTGAAGGGGTTAGTCAATGGCCACACTTCTTCCTTCTATTTCCCCATGCCAACATTGTTGGCGCCGTATCTAGTCTCAATACGACAATTACAACTTAGTGTCTCCACAACTAAACTATAATCTTCTAATAACTTTCAGCAACCTAATATTCTAGGATATGGTGAATGAACATATGAAAACTATTTTCAGCTAAATAAAAAGGTGTGCAGAATTCATCGTGCATTAATATGAACATCAACTGGAGAGATTAGACTTACTAAAAAAAATGGAGAATAGGAAGTAGTGGATGAACATATGAACACTATTTTTCAGCTAAAAAAGCATACAGAGTTCATTGATCACTAATATGAACATCAACTGGAGAGATGCAGGAGGAGGCACCAGGCAAATTATTAAAGAAACAGAGCCAACACACTGGATATTTCTAGCTTACCGGTGCAAAGTGCTCTGAAATTTTCTGCAAATAAAAAGTGCAGAGCTAATTAGCATAGAGTTGGTTGGACCATGTAAAACCATATATGTAAAATAACCCACTAAAGCTTATATACATAAATAAGCAACTGATGTAGCTGCAATGCAATGTTACCATCATACCTGCTGTTTTAGGTACTGTCTTTCCAAAGAGACCCATCACAATTCGGCCTGAGACAATGGTTGAGCATCTTTAATTAGTATCAATATTGAGAGTAAAACAACATGGGAATACAAAGTAGAATGGCAGATCCTAGCCAGAAACCATAGAGTAGATCATATCAATTCAAATCATCTCTACATATTAATGGTGTTTATGATATTATTTAGGCGTTGTTGTAATGGTAATGATGCAAAAACAGAGGCAGAGAGCATACCAGCTGGTTTCCCTGCAATTTCAACATCAAAATAAACTTTGTGGGTTACTTCCTTCAAATCCTCCTTGGACTTTTTTGCCTGAAGAAAAGGCAACTCAATCCATGGAGTAATGACTAAATATCATGCAGTAATACTATAATTTCTGAAATAATTAATTAAATAATGAGAGTAGTCCCTATCCTCCTTACCTCCTAAAGATTAGGAGGAAAATCAACCCAAAACTATTACCTTTCAATAAACCCCATTGAAAAAGACTATAATACTTTATTTTTAAAGCATGAATTAAAGTGTTATTTGTCTTGACCTGTAGTATTTTATTAAAACAACATAATTTTAAAGTGATTTTCTTACGATTAGGTAAGAGATAACGGGATAAGCACTAATCCCTTAAATAATTATTTCAATTAATCTAAACTCGATCACCAATTGTTGCAAATGATAAGAAATTGTAATCAAGCAAAGTGAATATTGAAATGATGATATCCAAGAATTGACGAGTCCCATGAGATCTAGTCAGGTAAGATGGAAAAAACAACAACCAAGTAAAGGAAAAAAAGAGTACCTGAGATGGAGTTATAGATCCGAGAAGAAGCAGAGCGCACAACAGTGCCAGAGAGAGAGGTAGCAGAAGCCTTGATCTCGCCATTTCTCCTATCGTCTTCTCTTCCGTGCGACTATGGAAGTGAAGAAGAAGAAGAAGAAGAAGACGAAGAATTTTTATATGGGGGATTGGTGAATCTTCTGATGGCCGGCGTGGGCCGTTGTGATTGGATCTTGGATTCTTAGGCCTGTTCAGTGCTTTCGTATCCTCATATTTCATGGGCTTCTGCTCCAACCCTTTTCAGGAAAAGCCCATCACTGGGCCCATAAACCTTTTTATTATTTTTTTCGGCTTTGAATGGTACAGTAATTTTTACGTATGCTCTTTAATTAAAATATTAATTTCATCCTTTACCTTTCAGATTTTTTTTATTTTTTTTAATTTAAAAAAAAAACTAATTTATGATAAGATAATGAATTACGTGATACTTTCATTAACAGAAATGTTATTTTGGTACTAAAAATTAAAGTTTAAGGATACTTTTGGTACTTTTTAAAGTTTAAAGATATTTTAAGTACAAATCTCAAATTTGAGCGACCAAATTTGGTATTTTAACCTAATTTTTACAAGAGCTTTTTATTCCTGCTTTGCCACGTCAGACGCCAGATTCCAGAAAATTTCTTTCGCCCGCAACAACAAAAGGCCGCCACGTCATCCAGACAAAATTGAAAATGGATTTGTGGGTCCCACTGCCCCGCAAGCATGTTTCAATTCCGGCGGGAAGAGAACAATCCCTCCCTCCCCCACCCACAGAGAGTTTCAACTAACTATCCCAACTACCATTCCCCCACGGACTGCTTGGTGGCCTCCTCTGCATCGTCAATGGCGGATCCATCATTCCAAGCATAGTAACTATGGAAATGGAAGCGAACTTGAGAGGAAATCTTGCGTTCTAGTTTCCCTCTTTGTTAACCTTTCTCTTCCTTAACTAATTTTAGTCCTCTACTCTTGCTTCAAACTTTTAACTTTTCTGGTTTCTTAGAATGGAACAATCGCCTGAAAACAACAGTCAACATGTTCGTGAACCTCCTTCTCTTTCTTCTTCCTCTTCCATCAGTGACAACCCTTCTACTTCCCAGGTCCAAGGAGGAGGAAGTAACGAGGAGCAGCCGCAGAACCACCAGGAGCAGCAGCAACAGGCTCCTAGGGTATCCTACCGCGTGAATATCTCCATATCTGATGTGGGTGGGAGAGAAATAGGGGATGACGTATGGTCTTGCATTTTTGTGCTTGTTACATTTTGGTTTTTTGGTTCGTTCCTTCTCCCTTTCTTTCCATCTTATCACTTTCATAGGTTTATGGATTAGAAGAGAAGAATGTAAATATAGTTTCTTTCTGGGGTTTCACCTTTTTCTCATCTCATTGGAGGGTTAGAAAAACACCTTCAAAA